GTTCGGAGCGGAGTAGGGTGGTCTACAGTGGCGGAGAAATCAACGATCTCGCTGAACTCAGGCACCGAACCATGGTTGCGTGGCAGAATCTCTCGATGGCGTGGTCCAGAAGGCTGTGGCGGAGTGTCATGATAGTATTTAATATGCTCTTTAATATGGTGGTAGAAATGTCCGATCAGAATTTAATAAAGTGTAACTTATAGCGCCTCGAAAGTCAATGAAGAAAAGTGACTTTTTTTGCCCCCCCCCCACTGTACTTTCTCATAGGCTTCAAATCGACTTTCTCAATTCACGCTGTTACACACTTCGGAAGGATGACTCTGATGAAGAGAAAGGTTCAAAGTAAGAATCTGTAAATTCAAGAGCACACCAGTCTCTCCTCTTCACACCATCCATCCCATTAAGACTTTCAATGGCGTACATACGTTGATCAGCTAAACATCATCCTGCTATTAAACTCTTACTCTACTCCGTTGGATTAGCGATTACCTTACCAAACCTGAAGGGACTACATCAACAGCCACCTCCGTGATTCTTCTCGTTCAACAGCTTATGTGCACCTGTTGCCGGACTGCTAACAGTGGTGCCTCACGGCTATCGGATATGTAACCCACGTTCTTGCAAAATCGTATCCAAATCTTCCAGTCGCGTTATCATAATTTTTATTCAAAACAGATTATCTACTTGAAGACGGAACCAGTGAAAAGCTCTGCTCATCGTAAAGCTACATAGGGACCGTCAATCCCTCAAAGTGGACTTCGTTAACCTTCAGAGAATAACGTAGGATTGATTTTCCTCTAGGAAAGGTGGTAGCACGATTACAAAACAAACTCCTTGCCTCGAAGAAGATTTTCTAATTCAGGATATTGCGTAAACCGAGAAGTTTCCAAGTCACCCAAGAGAACACTTGAGTGGTCAGTGAGCCTACAATCATATGGGTTGAAAGAAATATCTGACTGTTTTGTAGGACTTTCGTGGCACTTTAAGGCAGTGTGACTGATGTGAGTGATCGTTCATCAAGCAGATACCCCCTCCCCCAATTTCGGACTGTGGTAACCTTTTCATGAAAAAAACCTCAATACCTTCACACTACATAGGATGAAGTGAGCATCCAGTTTAACGTGTTAACCCTGTCTCATAATGTAAATCGCTCTTCTCTGGGCTCAAGGGCTGTCAAAAAGTATTCTCTCGTACTCGACGTAGATTAGGCAGTGGCCCCCCCGACGAAGAAATTAAAAATGACTTTGATTAGGTAAAGACACTAACTGAAGTGTACGAAAATTTCACGTTTTATCTTATCATGAGTCGCTACTCCTTGGTGAAAGGACGCGAAGAATGATTGAGTTTGCAACATGCTTGAGAAACATGTATTTCGCGTTTAAAAAAAATGGGAAAAGGACAGAAAATTGAGAAAATAAAAGAGGATGGAGAGGATGATTAGCGATTACTTCTTCTTCCGCAACTCAAAAAAGGTCTTCATGGAAAGCGTCTTTCTGACGATGAAGAGCAAGGCGGCAATTAACGCAACATTGATCGCGCCAAAGCAGTTAGAGCACATTTTTTTGAGGCTATCGAAACTAGTCACTCCCCGCCCAAGCAATGTCGTATTGAGGATTTTGAGCATTTGCGGAGAGACTACACATTAATAACATAACACTTTATATTTCTTTTGGCACTCTGTCTTCAACCTAATACCGGAATGACACCGATGTAAATAAGTGTCCATCCGAATTCGAAAAGCCCTGTGTGCTAGGGATTCACAAAGGATTGACATGTCGTGAGCAAAATCTGTTCCTCTAAGAAACTGTCCAGGTTAGACGATCACTTCATGAGTTCAGCTCAAGGAATGGAGACATAGGTGCAGCCATCGCTGATCTGAAACCATAGGGGGAAGTCAAGTATTGTTGGTCGTTGGGAAGGGAGGCGCGGGGTCCCACCAAGACTGTTTTTTAAGTTAAGGGGGGGGGTACATGGACACCGCCACACATTTCACATCACGCATGCTGTACTCGAAGGGAGAATGGAATATCTTAGTTGAACTCATATCCAGGGCGCAGGAAATCTACAAGAAAAGCCCAAACAGAAGACCAGTTAGAAACTACCTAAATATTTGAGCAACACAGAGATAAAAGAAGTATTCTTTTGTAGTATCGCTTCGTCGAAAACAATGAAAATTGCAATAAGATACAGGAACAACACCGACGGCTGAGACCCATACCAACATTTTCCTCGATCCGTAAAACTTTGTATGGAGGCGTTTCTCAGCATCGACACTTCAGCGTGGAACAATTGTCATAAATCAGCGCCACAACGAAGCGCCTCCGAAGCGACGTCCACTTCGCCTCATTGCGTTGTCGGAATCCCGTGAACTCTCTGGCAGAACATACGCCACACTTAAACAAATTATTTGAACAGGAGCGGATTTTGCCTACATACTATCACGTCTTATATACTTCTCGCAAAAGGACAAAGTATCGTGCTCGTGGATCTGATCCTCCAGTCACTAATGTTTCCAAAGTGATAGTTGGTCCTGGTAGTCCCTTTTCAAAGATTTCGTGGGACCGACGGTTGGGAAAAGGCAAATGTAGCCATCATCATCAGTTGAGAGACGGACGATCTCTTCCGTGCAAGCACACGCCCTCATACTTTCAACACGGTCCAGTACTAGAAATGCAAGGTGAAAAAAAGCAGCTGGAGTCCAAGTGGATATATGCCAAACAAACCTTTGGATATGTCACGAAAAAAGTAACTGCGTGTGTCAAAACCGTGGGATAACTCAGAAAAATGGATCAACGCAAGCGATATGCTCCGGCACTGTAACCACGATAATCATAAATGTGATTTAGGTAGTAATAAGTGTAATCTGAGTCGGAGGTGTGCAGTGGCAAGCGGTGCGCTTTCCCCAACCGGTGCGGGGGTCAAAACCCGGATCGTCTCAGGCCCAGGCCTCCAAAGCCTTCTATCCATCGAGGGTGATCAACTGGTACCAGATTCGTCGCAATGTAGCAACCGTAATGTAGTAATGTAATAAAATAATGTAATAATGAGTAAAGTTCTTCTAAGCCCCAGGAAGCACACCTGCAGTCCCTCCGCTTTATTAGAATGGGCTTACAAAAAACCTGTTGAAAATGGCTTGAGATTGCGTTTGGGACCATTAAAAATGAAGCGAAAAGTAGAACTGAAAAATTCAGTGCAGAAAGCGGGCAGCAATTAGTATGCGCTCAATCGTGCAACGCATCCGTTATAGGAGTGAGCAGACGGTTCGGATTGAGTTTCAGTACGTGTTTGCCTAATCATCGCGGCGCCAATTTGTAGTATGCGGAGATGATGTGTTGCAAAACAACGGAAAAAGCTAGGAAATAGGGATAAAAAATCTTCAGGAAAAGTAGTCGGTGTAAGTTCGTAAAAGGTTCATGGCTGAAAAGTGGGGAATAGAGAGGGAAGAATTCAACGAATGAAAAACTACTAGAAAAATGAAAAAATGAAACACAAGGCGATCGGCGGTAATTAAATTTCCTGCAATGACCCATATAGTCCTACACAGTTTTGGAATCGTGATAATTTGAAGGGATTACGGTCTTTCCAGTGACCTTCAAGGGACAACCAGACAACCAGTGTACAATCGTTATGTCCACATAATTGTGGCTTCAAATAAACAGCCCATTAAGGAATGGAAGGTTTGTTCACCCAGGAAAGGTAATTGTTTGACTTTGACTAAAATATGACCCTTCGCCGCCCCCGTGTCGTTGAACAGTGCCTTGCCAGTAACTCACTTGTCGAAAAACCAAAAAAAAACAACGACAGAGTAAATTAAAGGCAAAACCCGCGATCATTCGCCATCACAGATAGTGGATTAGGGGTTTGCATATAGACGAAAGGGTACTGAGTAACTCGACAGTGAAGAAAACAGCAGGAAAAAACATGCCAACTGCCCTAGATGAAACCCCATTTCGATCCCAGTTTGAACGTGCCCACTTACTCCATCTCCAACACTACGCCCCCGTCCGCTCAGCTGATTCCCCGAATACGAGCTCCGCGACCGTACAAGGGACGATTTTCATGTTTTTTCGTCCTGCGTTTTCCACTGAAAGGCAGGCCTTGTGGGCGGAGTCTGGAGGCGGAGTCACTGGAAAAAAGGAGGCATCACTGAACCTATATTGCGCTATAGCGCCCCTCCCTTACAATTTTTTGCCACGAAACTGGTAAGGTTAATCGTCGCGGAACACATCACCCTCCTGACGCATATTTTCAACTTGTATACCTGATCGCGGACCGTACCTTCAAAGGAAAATCAAGAGCAAGGAAATACGAGGGTGGAGGAAAAGTGAGGAAAGCAGTAGAAAACGGTTGAAGGGAGCGATAGCGATACAAGTGGGAAAGGCTGAGATCACGATAGACGCGCCCACATGTTGCAGATCAGAAGACCTATGTAGAAAACAGGGCTTTTTCTGCCGCTGAGGGAATGGTAGAAAAATACGAACTCCCTCCAATAGGAATCCCAACACTGTGGATAACGCGCGTGAGACAGGAGTGAACTATCAAGAAGAAAATTTTTTCAGGCCCGTAGGATCTCCTCTCCCCCCACTGACCAAATGCAACCCTCCTCCTCGCTGGGGAGTCCAGCGTACGACGTGTCCCGTTAGCAATTAGGATTTTATTCCATTTACATGAAAAATACTTTCAAGAATTAAGCTCAAAATAGCTCATTCCCCACTTGATTTCCTACTGGAGCAGTTCATTTACTTTGGTCCACTCTGAGAAAAAAATAACAAGTCAAAAACTTCCAATAAATAACGGCTAACTAGAAAGAAGGAGGAAAGCGATCTCATTCGAAAATCTGCCGTGGTGCGATGCCCTTCATCTAACTGAGAACAAGGGCAAGTTCAAAGCGTGCCATGAAATGTTACCGACAGCCGGATTAGTCGCAATAAATTAGCAGCGGCCCGCGCGACAACTGCCGCAGCGCTATCTCGCGTCCACATTTAGCACTCCGCTAACTCACGACGGAACAGCCGCTGCTGCAAGAGTCGCTATGAGTCAGTGGTCAGTAAACAGTTTACAACATTTTACAACGAGTGCAAAGAGAAACCTGAACGCTTATGAAATTATAAATCGTGGTCCGCATAATTACATTATGGGTTCCTACCCTATAATATTCTTTTCTGCATGACCAATCCTTGGCCCCATTCTGGGCAACGAAATCGGACGGCTAGCACGAAGTGCCATGTTGGAGCAAAGCAGCCACATGTACAAAGTACTGCATCAATTCATTGCTTCACAGGGCCAGGGTACAGCATCGTTGTGTGAAAGACATGGGAGGTAAAACTTGGTCGCCCAAATACGACCCCACCTGGGTAGGGTGGGGGTCGTATTTGGTCGTCGTTGGGAGAGGGAAGAGGTCATATGTGCCTCTGAAAGAAATGTGCCGCGTTGGGAAGAAATTTTTCCCTGTTAATTGAAAATAGTAGTCGATTTCTGACGACTTCCCGTCCCCCTCGCTCGACGGAAAGTTTTTCTGTAAAAAACTGGAAAATGTGGGAAAGGAACAATTGGTAGGAAGCTGGAAACTTGTAGGAAAGTGGTAGGTAGGTGTTGGGGAAGGAAGATTAATACCGAGACCCTTTCTCGGGCGGGGGGGGGGCAAGCTGACACAACCATTTCACACGTCACGATGCTGTACCGTGCACAGGGCACATCATTAGTTGGGAATTTTGGTCGAGTCCGTGCCACCTCCCCCCACCTGAAATGGCTTGATGGATCTCCTATAGTTCCCTTCCTCTGACACGATTGATGTCGAGGGGGGGGGGTATAACATGTGAGGGGAAAACCGCGGAAAGTCAACAACTTAGAACAATTTTCCCCAACGCTGCAATTTCCTGAGGGCTAATGCGACCCCCTTTCTCAAAGAGCAAATACGCCTTCCCTCACAGCTTACGTGAAACAAAAAAATAAGCTATCAAAAAAATTTTCTCAGACCGAACGCGACCCTTTCCCCGGCGAACAAATACGACCCCTCTGTTGGGAAATCACTAACGATGATGCTACCTTCCCGTGGTTCCTGGCGTGTTGAAGAGTGTTCATACTCTGCGTCATCGTTTTAAGAGACAAGAAAGGTGTTTTGAGTTAACCCAGCGTACGAGTTACCCCCCCCCCATTTTCAGTGACTAGCTAAGCATAGGTATCGATCTAGCTGACGCGGAGTATGAACTCACTCTAACAACATGATCAGTATAGACGCTGTTGAGCCCTGACCGTAGCATGAAACGTGGTACGGGTAAGAGATTGTAAAGGTGGTGCCGCCTACACACCTGCACACAACCAGTGGGCCCTTATGCGGATAACTCACATTTTTTGATCGAAAAGTGAGAGTGGGGTTTACGATGAGTAAGTGAGGGTGATTGAGAAAGGACTCGACGGAATTTATGACAACAATCTCCATCTACAAAAAAGAAAACTTGTTTGAAATATAGCTCAATCGAGAATCGATATTTAATATTTCTCAAAGTTATAGAGAATTTGTGCTCCTAAGAAATTGCTCAGGAAATCAACTGGAAAGCGAAGGAGGTTGCACGCCTATCAGTCTGCAATAGACAATCTGCAAGCGCTTCAGCACGGCCAACTGGATATTCTTTGAAAAAGGACAGAAGCTAGTAATGCGTGTTTTATACTTAGCAGGATAAGATTGGACCCGTTCTGTGAAGCCATTAAGTAAAAAGGACTAAAAAATGGGCTTGACGTCATTCACTCACCGACAACTTGGATCAATTTCGCTACCAAGCGGTAATCACGTAGTTCGTTTGAGATGTCGTCGATCGGTTTGTAGTTTGGCGCTTTTGATAAATATCGGTTCACCCAATCGGTGTAGATCTGGAATGGATACTCATTTTTATGGGGAAATATGACACCCGGCCGATTCCATAATGAAAGAAAAACAGCCATGAGCGAGACGAGCTCTTGAATGGTTTTTTCGAAATTCCTGATGTTACATTATTTACTGTGCAGAATCGACTACGAATGTCCGGATGCTGCAGAAGTATGAAGGGTTTTCTATGGATTCCAGAGACCAAAACTACTACCTGAGCAGAAACGCACAGCAAAGAGTACGCCGTTGTTATATGATCGCGGACTTCTGCTTGTTCATGCTCTTTCCAATTAGTTCAGAGTAGTCGTTTCAGTAGAACTAGTTTGCTCAAGTAAAGGAAATGTAGAGAAGCGCTGAGTTTGGTGGGGCCCAAGCCTATTGTGCACCAATTTGTCGGTGGAATGGTTTGGTACCGCGCCAGACCCAGTCCCTGGAACGCCGGAACATCCCTGGAACATCATCCGCAGCAATCAAGACTGTATCTCCTCTCTAATTCGTTGACTACAGTCGGTCTTCAGAACAATGAATCCTATTAATAAAAGAAAATAGATGTTGGCTGGTCGTGTGGTTAAAAGAACAGTTCAGTGGCCAACACACGAAAC